TTTTGTAGGTCCAGAGTCATCATAGTTTCCCGAATCGATCCGCTTCTGGAACTTCACAAGCACCGACTGCTCCTAATAATTATATAGGTTATGTCAGATGTCAACTGGCCATGCCAGCTGGATCGCTCATCATGTTCACCATTTTGTTTTAACCATTTTGGTTGACCCGTACCATCATGAAAGCAAACACCAAGTTGCTACGACATTCATGTGGCGCAAGCCTCCTCGAACATCCAAGCCGGTCCAAGCCCCCACCATCAGCGTATCAGAAGCCTCTACACTTCAGCTTGACACCAATGTGATACCCTTTCTATCACCCCCCCTCCACCTGACCAACTTTCCACCCCTCCCCCACCCAGCAGACTTCGGTCCCCAACCCTCAACCATGCTCAACCCTTCGCTCCCTTCGCGCCCGAATTCGTCCGTTTGGCCCGCCCAGTTGCCGCTCCTGGTCCTGCCCTTCCTGCCCTTCTGGTTCTTCCGCCACCAAGCCTCCGCACCAGTGACGCCGGTGCCGGTGCCACGGCAGACCACCCCACAGGAGGTCATCGTCAGGCGCGGAGCGGCGCTCGCGGCGGAACGGTGGAACGGTGGGGTTGGGTCGGGTGGGTGAGAGGGGGGTGAGACTCGGCAAACAGAAAGTGAGGCACCAAACAGAGTTGGCCCAAAAACCCAATCGTATTCCTCTAGAGATTCCAATGAAATATATAAGCATTCCCATAGGATTCCCGACAAACATGTGGACCGACCATTCCGCTTTCCCCAGTTCTGGATTTGACTCGAGATTCAAGTCTTAAAGCAAGGAACTGCCCCCCCAACCAACTGCCCTTGTGTCACGTTGATTTACACTTCAGATTCCCTCTCCACCTCCAATAACCAGGGCGGAAAGCCACTTGACCACCCGCCACCCCCTCTGATATCTACACCTTCGATCTCGCCAAAAAAAAGGAACCATCAACACACCATTGGGTTCCAAAAAACTCGTGTCCGACCCGACCTTCGACCTTCTTCACTCACTCGGATGAGTCGTGAGCAGGCACCATTTCCTCACCCGGACCCACGACGTGCACGTGCCGGTGCCGGTGCCTGGACCCGACCACGTGGTCTACGACAAGGTGATCGGATGGTGAAGGAAGGAACCGGTGAAAGGGACCGGAGTGAAGCAGGACCATGGAGATAGATATAGGGGATATAGGTTCAAAAGGAATGAAAGTGATGAATCATTCGTCAGTGAGTAGTCATGGGTTTGCTCAAAATGCATGGCTTTTGCTCAGGAAAAAACGCATGGCTATGTCATGCTCGTGGTGACCGGACCATCAAGAACGATCATACACTCACCAAATCCTGACTTCACAACTTCACATTTTGACCGTAAAGTTCATGTGTCGTTGGTCCTCCGCATCGATCGGGTCTTGGCCTTGGTCAAGGCCCAAGACTACCGAAGACAAAACGCATGGAACACCATGAAAAACCATGGAATACCTCTCATCCCCATCGGCCAAGACTGCAAAAGGATAAAGGTCACTGCTTCACCATCCCACAAACCGGCCCAAACCTCCCCCCCCCAAAGCTCCCCCGCAACCGGTCAGACCCGGGCGTGCGCCGGCGTGCGCCAGCGCTCTCCGCGCGGCCGGTCAGGTCTACGCACCCCATGCGCACTTCAGCTGCGCCAACGCGGAGCTCAGCGATTCCTCCGAGGCAGCGGGGACGGGGGCGCTTTTGTTGGGGCGGCCGCCGGAGCGAAACGGTGGAGGGTGGAGGGTGGCAGGTTCTATAGTACCATATGCTCGTAGTACCTAATAAGTTGTTCCATCTATATATTCCATCTATACAAATCTATGCAAGATGTTTGCCTTTTGGCTGGTCTTATAGATAAAAAGTATAACTTTGGCACAGTTGGACGATCTAGCTATGTGTTACTTTGGAGATGCATTTGCCTTACCCCATGCTGAACGTCTTTCTTGTTTCTTTTGATACTGCCTGAAGTACTGAAGTAGCAAGGAGATGCAAGGAACACTGAATGCTTCGAAGTGGCGAGTAGCATGGCCTTAAGCGGAAGAAGAAGAATCCCACTCTTCCATTCATGAAAGCATCGAACTCTTGGATGGTCTATTTCTTGCAGGTCTTGTCAATGGGGGTGGAAAAGCAGTGGCTGCTGTCACATCATCAAGGGGCTAGCTGATATGCATGACCCAAGCTGATACCCTTCGTATCCGGTGGGAATGAATACTCTTCAAGTAGAATCCAACCACTTTATAGCTGTCAAAACAAGTCTGACAAAGGACTTAGGAGTCCCAACAGTCGACTTTAAAGACACTGCAACGTCTTCGCTGCATTCGCCATCCAGCTTGTTGCTGGGCCATCCCGCATTCGCCGGCTCGACCCTCCACGTGGCCCTCCGACTGACACGGCTGTCTCTGACCAGCCTCGGCTCGGAACAGCTGTCTCTGGCGCCAGACCTACTGGAGCGCAAAGCACAAGGCTTGGTGCTGCTGGAAGTTCAGCATTGGCTGCCCCTCCCATGCGCGGACGCCCAGAGGGACGTCGAAGCAGCAAGCTGCTATACAACCAGACCACCAGAACCGACCGTGCAAGCACGGATTGACGCGAGGGGGGGAGGAGTGCGGTTTTTGAGCGCACGAGCCCATGCGCGGATGGAGGAGTTTTGTTGGATGAGTTACAAACCCAAACACTCCATGTGTGCCATATATGCCTACATTGACCCCCTAAACCTCCCCAAGGTAGGCATATTTTCCATACATGGGAAAGAAGAAACAAGATCCAATTGTAGCGGTAGTGGCACGGCCCATGTTAGGCAGTGCAAAGATCAAATTGTAGCGAACAACAAGTTAATATAACATGTCATCATTTCAGGGCCTGTTCAACATGATTATATATTGATCAATTATATCTTATTTTGCTTCTTCTTTACCACCGACTTGGTGGGTCATGATCCATTGGCCCACCTGGGAGGGTGGCATAGGCATAGCCACCACCTCGGTTTTGCCACCCGCCTCCGCGCACGGACCGGACCGGACAGGTGGTGACCCAGGACAAGTTCATCCACGTGCAAAAGACCCACGCCGTGCCTGTGCCGCCTCTCGGCGGAAAGTGGTGGAGCGAAGACGACGGTCACAGGGCCGGAGAGGGGGCGGAAAGGGGGCGGTTTTGGGGCGGGCAAGCCCGGAAGGGGCGCCAAGGAGGCAAGGAGGTCTGGGTTTTGGGCTTGAGGACTGGTTGGGGGAAAGTTATTTTTAGGCTGGGATGTTCTGTCTTGACCTTGGGAAGGTTGTGTTTTTTCCAGATGTCGGAAGGGTTAGCTTGCCGGGTTTGACTGACAACCACAGCTATTGAGTGGAGCAATGCCTCCAGGTGCCTCAAGTTAGAACTTGAGATCATGTTTCATGAGGCCATCCATACCTGGTCCATGTGAAAGTACCCAGACACTCCACGGGACTGCCATAGACCCCCCTGGCACCACCCCTGGCCTGATCGGCAGTCCTATGGCAGTCAAATGGAGCGTTTGAGTTTGGGGTAGATTGAAGGATAGTGTGTGCCGTAGATGATATGCCTTTTTGAGATGTTCCATGTTCACGATAACCGGAGGAACGTCTTGGGCAGACATGTTTGCCTTTGGGTCAAGACGCCAACAGGTCCGTGCTCAGGCATTCTTGCCCCCTGTGGGCCTTCTTGTCCCTCTAGGCCCTAGGCATCCCTAGGCGTTCTTGTCCTCTTGGTGGCAATGCCTAAATAGACAAGGGTCCACCCTCCAGTGGTTCCAGGAACTTCCATAGTGATGAAGTATATTTATGTTTGTTTATCAGAAATTCACTTGACGCTTCACTGTTGCTTGGCTTTTAATGTTTCTTGCATTGTTTTCTTGTTCTATGTGTTTTTTTGCGTATAGGCGTTCTTCCCGTCACTTTGGTGTCCTTACCCGTTACTTAGGCATTCCTGTCCCGTTACTTAGGCATTTTTCCCGATTCCCCAATCACTAGAATCAGTCGTCGGGTGGACAAAGGAATGGACAAATGTGCCTCGGCATTTTTGGGCCCTGCTGCAGCCAGGGCTTAGGCGTTCTTTGTGAACACGGGCCGATCTTTCTGCCTAATATGACGTTGGGGCGGACACTCTTGCCTAAACGAGGGTCGACATGACTGACATGTCTCAATTGATATATTATTATCTCTTTTCGTTGCTTCAACTTCATCAGAGATCGCCCCGGTCCAAAACCTCCGACCCCCGAAAATCCTCTGCGTTTCCTTGTGTTGAAGCACTTCCAAACCTTCCAAACCTGCTGCGTCATGATCAGCGTTTGAAGCGCTTGCGCTTGGGCGCCTGAAGCACTGCCCAAACCGTGCCAGGCATTACTACAACGTGCCCATCCCCTCGCCTGCCCGGACGCCCGAGCGGAACTCCGGAACCCGCCCGTGCGGGTGACGCGAGGTGAGTGCGGTGTGGACGAGGCATCTCCCCTCAGATGCAGCAGCATCTACTGGATCCAACTAGATATGGCCACTCCTAGTAGTACGGCCAGGAGCCCCTATTAGCGTCCTTGCTAGTAGCGATGCCAGGAGCCCCTAGTTACTAGTAGCTTCTTGTGGTTGTCTCACGGTTATCACAGACACCTGCCACTAACCTCGAATGAATGTGTTTCCAGCCACACCCATGTTCAAACACCACACATGGATGAATGGTGAACGGGGGTGGTGAACACCACCATCCGGAGGACACAGCTTGGGAAGTTAAACATCCATCAGTAGAGAGAGAGAGAGAGAGAGCTCTGCCAGCACCACCCAACGGATGTGCTTACCACTACCCATCCAAACAGAGTGGTGCTGCCAGAGCATCCTTTGCATCCCATACCCCTCCAAAAACCCCTTGTACCCCCTTATCAACTCCGCTTCCCTCAAGCAAACAGCTCCAAGGCCAGTTCCGGCACACGATCCATCGATCGATCGAGCTAGCCATGCTTTTCAGAATTAATCCACGCCCGACCACCCTGGCGCCCTCCCTCCCTCCGCGCCCTCCGCGCGAAGCACCACGCCGCGCCAGCCCTCGAAGCCGATCTACGAGAAGACCTACATCCCCACCGCGCCGTTGCCGCCCAAGCACGTGCCGGTCCCAGCACCTCGGTAGAATCGATCCTGGGCACCACCTGCCGGGTTTCGGGGCAGCTCTGTTTCGGGGTGGTCCCGGAAGAAACGAGCTGCCGGCGGCAGGTGGAGGAGAGGAGTTTGTCTCTGGGTGGTGCATGATGGGTAGATGGGATGGATGCCCCTTGGATACAGATACATCCATTAATTAGGTCCATTGAGTGGACTCCAAGTCCGAGGCAGGTGTGGTATTTTTCTCTGGTAAAGATTCTTCGGACTGTTCCTCCTTGATTACTCTGAAGAGCCTGGTGTTTCGGAGGGCACATCGTTTTTGCATGCAAAGCAGTCGTGCAAACCATGTAAGAAGAACCAGGTGAGCAGATGGTGCTTTCTCAAAAGCAAATCTTTTCTTACACCGATACCCGCAAGACACCATATAAAATGCCCACAAAGATATCCACTGTGACACCCGTTTTGGGGGAATTGATGCTTGCTACACCACCCCCGACAGTGGAGAGACCCACACCACTCTCCCTGGTTGCTTTCAGGCTCATGAGCCGACCCTGGCGACCAGGTTGATCTAACTGTCTCTCACCCTCGTGTCCCTCGTCCCTCGGGGACGTGCCGTCGTTGTCGATCGGATGGGTGGATTCGGCGGGCCCAGTCGACACCAGGTGAAGATCCCCGCCAAGATTCCGGACCCCATCGTTCACTACAAGCAGCTGGGAAGTCTGCGTCATCCAGTCGACGGGAGGCTCCAAAAAGAGCTCTTCTCCTTCCGTTCGCCGCACTCGACGAGGTTTGGGGGGGGAGAAGCATGGGTTTGACCAAGACGAGGTGTATCCTGGCACCATGATAGATGGACGATGCTGGGGAACCAGCAATGAGCACGGATGAGCAAGGCATGATTGTTTTCACTGGTCTGGGGGAAGAGCAAACCAATAAGAGAATGAGTTCATCATGGTCAGATCCAACTGAAGATATGCCTGGTATCATCCATCCATTTTCTGCATGAATTCTTGAATCTCCTTGACACTCCGGTCTACAGCGGAACCGCTATGGTACGGCCACCGCTAGTCGTCTCCGAATGTCTCAGACACCACCGCTGGACGGTCTCGGCCCGGAGGTACGTCCACCCCAATCTCACCAAGGTACAAGGCGGTTCCGCAGCCCTACAAGGTGCCACACGTGGTCTATGACAAGCAGGAGGCGGAGAAGCGAGCGATCCGCGCGACGTGCGGGCGGGTAACCGGTTCGCGCGCGCGCGCCGGCCCAAACCGGGGGACCCCAGGGGTCCTCTACAGTGCAAACGATGTTCTACAGGCAAAGGGAGAACTGTGTTCTAAAATGTAGGAATTACGCCCCGTACGGAAGTTGTCTTGTCTTCGAAGCAAAGGAATGAAAAACATAATTCACAGTTACGACCTCCACGGTGACAGAATCTGAACATTCGACATCCACACATCCGATGTCCTGGGGACTCTTCAAGTATGATGACCATGCATGCCTCATGCCCAATTTGTTTTCTGGGAACTCTTCAAGGCGTGTTGAGGACCGGTTCCAAGTGGTGGACCGTGTGAAGACCCTGCGAAAACGAACTCACGCGACCACCGGCTGGAAGAAGACCTGGACCTAAGTGGGTGGCCGGAGTGAGAGTGCCTTGGACGTGAAGAAGTCCTTGCACGCATGGACAGGGCAGGTGGCATGTGGTTGGGGGTCCGGACCGAGCAGGTGCCTGTCCATGTGACCGTGAAGAAGTACGTGAAGGACTACGTGCCCCAGCCTCCTGAGGCGGGAGGAGAGCCCACCGGTGGGCCACCGAGTGGCTGGTTTGTGAACTGGAGGCTTACCGTCGCTGTCAGTAGAAGAAGATTGAATTCTAGGGGAACTATTGGTCTTTAGTGTCCTGGATTGAATGCTATCGGGGAGTTCTTGAATCAGAAGGTAATAGCACGCCCTTGAAGCAAGCCACATTGTTGAAGCAAGATCAAGGTATAGTTTGAAGTAGCCAAGCCTTATATCTCATCTCTTTCTTTGGTACGACGACAGACCTACTTCAAGGCTGCTTCGTGGCGGTTATAGGGGGTACGCCTTGCGCCTCCAAGCCTTCAAGGGACTACAGGTGTCTCATGACGACCTGTAGTCGTGTCCGTAAAGGTCTTTATGACCTGCACCCTCCGGCGGATTGAGACCAGCCGACCGAAGAAACAGGTCACCACCGTCCACGACTCCACGACCGTCTTTCTTTCAAGTCAAAAGCCTCCATAACTTGGAGAGCTGGCAGGTCTCGGGCGCTGGTAGCTATTTGCTTAGGAACTGTGTGGTGAAACGAAGACGAGGGAGCAACATCGCCCATCTTCGGGATCCGTCACAGCCCCGCCACAGATCATTCACCGCACCCACACGGAGTACGTGCCGGAGCAAAGCTACGACGCTTGGCTGCGATGTGTTGTTTGTTGTAAGAGGCTTCGTGGTTTCTTCTGTTGTGCGAGCCATAGTGTTAACATGCTTTATAACTTGCCGCTGCAAAACACTACATCTCAGCCAATCTCAGTATCCTGTTGCCACAGTTGTCAAGCTCGGCTTGGGTTTTCGCTTGCCAACTCTTCGGTCAGAACGAGCGCCATCTCTTCACCCGCCATCTCTTCTTCGGAGCTGGGACCCTTTGACGCCATATCTCAGAGTCGTCCCACAAGAGGTGCAAGGCGCACACTGTCCCAGGAAGGACGCGGATCACCTGCAAAGCCTCACTAAAAGCAAACAGGTGGAAGATTCCTTTGCCTGACGATCAAGGATGTGTGACCCATCCATGCATTTTCATGGTGACAGCCATGGAACGTTTGGTTCACAGTTAATCTTTCCATGCAAACTGAAGAAGAGATGTTAAGGCCACATGATGCCACATGGCTTAGGTGGACCAAACAAGAGAACGGTGTGTTTTGGACCAATGGGCGCCGTTCCAGCTCGTCCAGTCCAGCACTGCTCCGTGCTCTGCCTCGGTTCAACGCCGAGGACTGCGACGAGGGCTTCGAGCACTGGGAAGACGTGTGGAGCGTCGGTCAGCGAAGGCGAACCGCTAGTAGTAACAAGTGCCTTACTAGTAGTAACAAGAAGCTATTAGAAACAATAAGCTACTAGGAACAAGTGCATTGCTACTAGTAACAGGTGCATCGCTAGTAGTAACAAGAAGCTCAGAGGAGTCGATGTGGAGCCCATGGATTCATGGATGTTTGAAGGAGGTTGTCACGTCTTGTGGCTATAAACTTCCCAGTGCATCCCAGGCAAACCGCTTTTTTTGAGGAACCAGGGATTCGTTCGGTCTATGGTTTTGGTCTTTGGAACCACTGGTTATACCAGCTATACTGCAGTGGTAACTGGATGCCCTGGGCTTGATTATATAAGCTTTATTAAATGATGGCTACATGTTGTTGTTGTTGTTGTTGTTGTCCTCGCTGTAGTTTGTGTGATTCATCATAAGCATCATCCATGCATCACATTCCTATCTCTTTTAGGATTTGTTGATGTTTTGTACAATCAGGGCGAGGACAGTTCAACTGCTGCCACAAGCTAGCAGCTCGTCGTAGTGCACGATGAGAAAGTTCGGCAGATACGTCTTATGATTGATGATCTCTGATCTCTTATATGATATGATAGTTTGGGACGTCTTGTACTGTGGATTGTACTCGCCATAAAGCCAAACACATTGTTTTTGATTCGTGCAAAGAGTTATGAGGGGAGATGCAGTACAAGAGCCACCCGATAGATTTCCAATCAACCAACCCATCATCAGGAAAGCAGGAACACGATGGTTGTTTGGCCTTGGTTTGACATAAAGACACCCCAACAAATGGAGCATCCCAGACACTTGATGCATGGCATATATACCTACATTGAGGTGGCTAAACGTTGGGTCAATGTATGCATAAAGATGGCCAGTCCCATATATTTTGGACATCAGAGGCGTTCATTATATACCCGCATCCCACAAGCCTGCAATGATCTGCGATGCTACTTGCCCAGGGTCGTTTCTACTCTTTCCAAGACATGTAAACCCACTCGTCCAACCGTCCCCTCTTCTTTGGGCTGTTGGGCCAACCAGCGGCGGCGCCGTGACCGCCCGCCCGGCTTGGCCGTCGATCCGTGTCCTTCGCAGGTTCTGCTGCTGGAAGGCCAACCGCGGATGCGCACAGACCCACTACAAGACCAAGACGCAGGCGCGTCTGCAGCCCCGCGTGCGCCCGCGTGCGCCGACAGCGTCCACGTCCGAGCTGCTGGGTCCTTCTTGGACCGGTTGGAAGTGGATCTTAAGGACGTTTGAAGCCGAGAACAAGTCTTTTTGTGCAAATTCAGTTAGTTTTCTTGCGGGGTTTTATGTGGTTGGTTACACTAGCTTGGGGAGTGTTGAGGAAGTTTGTTTGAGGGAGTCAAGAGTTTAAGTCCAGAGTAGAGTCAGTAGAGTTTGTAAGAATATGTATGACTTGTTTTAAATGGTTAAATCCCTACAAGTCCAAAGACCCAGTTCAACCTGGTCCTTTCCCTTGAACAGCGTTTTTGTATGACCAACGTCAGTAGAATGAGGCCATTGACTTGTAGGGAATGGCTATATCTGCAGAGGCCTTTCAGTGGCTGTAAGCCAGTCGTCCTCTTGCGAAGGATCGACGTCGAATCGAGCCTCTGACGTCGAATCGAGCCTCCTTGCGTCGACGCGTTGACGTCGGGACGTCGAGACACGTCGAGACACCGGTGCTGTGACGGTTCACGCGGCGATTCATTTCATTGGCGAAACCTTTGGGATCCACGCCAATGGAACATCGAACACAGCAGGCAGATGCGGCAGAGTCCGGGAACCTTAACCGGTCATGTCTCCGCGTGGTTAGCGTTGGTTTTTCAGCGTCACGTCAGGTGAAGACCCACATCAAGTACGTCAAGGTCCCGGTGCCTTCGCCCCCAAAGATCATCGTGCGCCACCACGAGGTGACCCGTACGCAGCACGCGGCGAACAGACAGACATCAGCAGAGATTGGGATGGCTCGTGGCAGAATGGGAGTTGAAGAGGACAACATGGAGCACTCAATCTACAAACATATAAAAGTATACCAACACCACCCAAAGGGTGGTTTTTCGACCCCCCCCCTCACTGTCTATTTTCCATTTGATAACCACCCTCAAAGGGTGGTGATATCCTGTAATACTGTTCTGGTTCTGCAGGAACGGAGGAGAGGGTTCCTCACCTCACATGAACCGATGGAAGCAGCTTGTCTTAATCATTAATTCACATAGTACCTGCTGTGCCCGGGAAGGGATGGCTGGCGCGGACTCATCGGAGAGTCACGAATGACCTGTCGGAGGGTATGAATCAGTTGACTTCTGCCCCTTCGCCAGGTGCACCCACACCTTCAAAGCTTCGACTGCACCCAGGGCTTCAGCGCCCTGCCTCGATCAACGCCCACGGTGGCGGTTGGTCTGAGTGGGTCCGGGTCCGTCCGGCGGTCCTGCGGGTCCGGCGTGCTCGAGGGTTTTTCTGCGAGCAGGTGCCAACCAAGCTGCTTGTCAACTGCTGCGCACGTTCTGTCAAAGACTTCACTGTGTTTTTTTTCGGCAAACTGTTGCCTTGGAGGCGAGGATTTTGTTTGAAGCAGAGCACAGTGACTCAGTACATGCATGATACGATTGTTGTTTGTGTTTCAAGATTTTTGTCATCATATCATCATATGTTGGTTGGTGTGAATGTGATTCCACTTCCGGAGCCAAAAAGAGAATGCTTCACGATGTCCCTGTGTTTGCAAGGGCTCATTGACCTTGAAGGGCTCACTGTGAAAGTTCACCCATTTCCACATGTTCACAGGTTCTCCCACACGATCCCAGTATGATGTGTCCTTTGCTAGGCTAAGTCGAGGAGCATGCCGTCTTGCATGCAGGATTCATTTTCAAGGAGCATGTACAGCATAGCGATTTGCAGGGAGCACAAGTACATACAACCGACCCTTTTGCCCCCCAAAACCTCGCTCTCCCTTTCGTGCAGCCGTGTGCCGGGACTAAGTTCTGCCAGGGAACCGTCGCAACTGTGGGGGGGGCCGACCGGCCGTGCACGAAGTCACCCCTCGTCGAGGCAACTGGTTCCACGGATGGTCTCCTTTGAAGAAGAAGTACTGCTGCGCGCACGAGCTCAGTGGCCGTAGACGGTCGACGCGGTCGTCTCTTTTGGTTTCTTTATGTTTCGCGCGTGTCTTGAAGGTGCGGCGCGAGGCTCCAAGCCGCAAGCCTGTGGGTCAAAAGCTGTTGGGCCCCCGTGTAGCCGGATATGAGACATTTGAAGACTTAGGGTAAGGGATGGGAAGGGTAAGAGGAGAATCAGGTGAAATCAAGTGTATATATGCGACAACGAGTAGCCTGTGTCATTTAGAGTTGCATGTAATCGGCAGATGTCAGAGAGCCTGGTGTTGAAGGGTATATATATATACCAGGGGCCCCACAAACCATCAAAAACCTGGTTTTCCCCAGAACAAAAACTGGTTTTGGTATGTGAAAATCTCTCTTTTTCATGGTTTTGAGGGCCCCTGGTATATATATGTCATATTGACTGATGAGGTGTCACTTCAATACGACAGGGTTTTGCCAGGTGTTAAAGGGGAGGAACAAATGAGGGCCTGGGGGCAGGGCCTGGGGCATGTCTTGATATGTCTCTCTTTGCTGATGAGCAATGCAATCGTTCTTCTCAATCTAGCTTTCACTTGTTGTTCCACGATCATCGTGTTTCACTGAACTTCTCAATCTAGGCATCACTCCACACACCCATGCAGTGCCACGCAGTGCCACATAGTGAAACCCTTCAGCTGAAACAGACACCCAGACACGACCCGTCTGGGACTGCCAGGACGGACTGACGCCCCAGAAAGAACCCCCAGTCAACCACCCCTGGCCGTTTCTCGGCATGTATATGGCAGTCCCAGACAGGTCGTGTTTTTTCTCGGTCCTGGTGGTGTAGAGAAGGTGGAAGTGACCCATACCAGCACCCGACTCTACAGGTCTCCGAAATGGAGGCTTTTTGCTGACTTAAAAGCCGCAGCTGGTGACCTGTTGGAGTGTGCTGGTATATGGTAGTCTCATGGATAGGCATGTATGGCAGTCCCAGACAGGTCGTGTCTGGGTTAAGCTTCGGTCCACGCGGTGCCACCGCGTTGACCGAGGAACCGCGGCTGTCCCGGAGCGGCCCACGGTCACATGGTGCCTCGGCGGTGCCGGCGACCGCGCCGGCGACCCGGTGCGAGGGAGGTCTGTGTAGTGCATCCTCCAAAGGCGTCAGCCCAGACACGACCGCCATCTGGGACTGCCATATACATGCCTTCAAAACGGCCGACTGGGGTGGTGGTGCCTTTTCGGGGTCTTTCTGGGGCAGTCCGTCCGGGCAGTCCCATGCAGTGTTTGGGGAGGTTCATTTCACTTTTCCTTCTCTCAGTTGGATCATCCAGCGGAGAGGGAGAGCACGTCCTCCACGCGGCTCCCAAAAACGGCAGACAAAGACTTGCCCGAAAGAGAGGAATTCGTGCCTGTCCCCCTCAAACATCAGCTGGCCTGGCTGGTGGACTGAGTGTTTCTCCGTGACTCTGATAGTCGACTGTTTCTAGTGTTTCGTTACTCTCCCGTGGAGAGGCCATTGTTTGCGGTATATTCACGGTGAGCCATTACGTGCTCTCCCTGGAACTAGCATGGAAGTGGAGTTCACCCCTGTTTTGCAGTTGAATAGGGTCTTCCAAGAGGCCATTTTCGACTTCCATGTTAGTTGCAGGGAGTATAGACCACTATGACACTTCATGATCAATTCAGTTTCACCTGGGCGGGCGTCAATTGATCTTGGGATGGGGGACACGTCGCTCGTTAAGCAACCCAATCACCTTCCGGGCTTCTCGATCCAACCTCCGGGCACCTGTTCCCACCGCCAGTCGGTGACGGTGCATACGGTGCACATGGCCGGCGCGGGCAAAGCCACCGGGAAGATCTACGATTGCAACGCCGGCTTCGACAACTGGCTGCAAGGCGCGTGGACCTCCCCGCCGGGGGTCGCGTCAACGATCCGGCGAAGAAAACACCGCGGGGAGTGAGTGGTGGGTCGTGTTCGGGAGTGGTGGTGTCAAGCGAGTGCGGCGACCTGCTGTTTGCGGCGGCAGCAGGTGTTTTGCTGGTTCTCTTTGCCTGACATTGAGCATCCTGGTTACGGCCTAACATGGGCCGTATCAGATCGAGTCCGCCCGTCGTGCGTTTTTTAAGCGGCCTTTGAGTCGTTGGGTGACCAGGTCGTAGATGGCACAGGCACAGCACACAGTGGCACCCAGGTTGGAGAACTGGATGTGTATGGGTGGAACTTCGAAGCAGGTAAGCCTGACTGTTGAGACGGTCTAGGACAAGATGAGGACGGTTTCTTTTCCCATAGAATCTGGTCTCTCCATAGGTCTCCATAGGGCGCACGCAGTGCACACGGGCAACACACGGCTCTCGCCTTGCACCGATCGGACCAGGCTGCTTGAGCTCGGTTGGTGCTTCGATCGACCCTGACCATCGGACCAGGTCGGACCTATAGTGACCAGGTGACCATCCAGTCCGCGATATACCAGGGGGAGCCACGTCGCTCGGGGTGGAGCCACACTCGTCCCTTATTGAGGGGCTGTGGAGACATGTGACAGGGGCAACCCGACGACCTCCAAGTGAAGAGCACCCCGGGGGTGGTGTGACTCCTGGTCTAAAGGACCCAACGCAAGACCTCCGTTTTGATATGAAGAAATGTGACATGTGACCATATTTTGGATCGTTGATCCTCCAAAACAGGGGTCACTCAGGTTCTAATTACAGTATACATGCTGGACTGCTCAGCTTCGCATCTCGCGTTGGGCTGTTTGGCTGGCTTCTTAGAATTGGCGTTTCAGTCGAACATGCCGATATACCAGGACCCTCCAAGGGGTGCCCAATGGAAGCCTATAGGTAGTGTGGGGTAGTTCATTGGACACCCCTTGGAGGGTCCTGGCAGTTTATATGCCAAACAGTCCCGTTGAGTTGACCAAAAGAGACTCCTGGAGCGGAGTCGAATTCAATATGATGTGGACTGGACTCACCAACTCCGAGGATGTCCAGTTCCAATGGGTGTTGATCACTCTACAGTCTACCAGCCGCTTAGTTCCATGCAAGGGGTGACCTGGCTGGACAACCCTACACTGCTGATAGGTCACCATACCCAAACACTCCATGGGACTGCCATCTGTGCCTTCAAAACGGCCGACAGGGGTGGTTGACGGGGGGTCTTTCTGGGGCGGCAGTCCGTCCTGGCAGTTCCAGACAGGTCGTGGCTGGGATATAAGACACCCATTGGAAGCGCTAGGTCTAGGTCTGATGGACCCGTTTCGCTCCTCGCGTGGGACGGCTATGGCCGTCGTCGTCGAGCCAGTCGCTTGATTCGTCGCCAGGCTGGTCTGATTCCAAGAAGACCTGGTGCTGCGATAAGGTGCGAATTCTGCAGAGATGACTGACATCGATGGTCTCCAGATGTTCCAACCAAGCTTGGCTTGGGAGACGTGTTCTTTCTCTTGGTGACATGGTCCTCTTTCTTTCGGTGGACTCCTTATAGTGTAGCTATGAGGCTCCAAGTTGAATCCCAATCGACATCTGTGACATGTTTCCAGATCTTCCAAACTTAGTGGGCTAGGAATTCGGAATGGCGACGTGTGCAACTTTGGGTGCGCTAGTACAGGTGGTATGAAAGGTGTTTCTCAAGCACCTGGAGTTGGGCATGATCAATTATCTGTGTTTTGCAGTAGTTGAACTCGCCAATCATACCACACCATAAATAGGTCTCGTAAGTTTTGGTAATGCTGTATCTATATTATAGAATTTTATAGACATGTTGTGGAATGACATCTCCTCATCCACTACGCAATGAGCTGCAATGTGTCTTCTGGTTCATTTCCCCCTCACCCGGACTAGACGGTTCAGATCAAACATGTTCAAACGAAGATGATCCACATGTGCACTCCTCGCGGTTCACCATTCACAAAAACATCACAGAATTGCTTTGACCAAACAGTCAGTTTTTCTCCCAAACCCGTGGGTCTTGGGACTGTGCTGACGTCAATTTAAAACACCACCTCAAACGAGCTACATACTCAACAAACATCCAACAAAATAGCCAGGATCCCAGGTCTCTGGATTTCGCTCAGCTACTGGCAGTGGTAATCTTTTTGTATCCAACTTCTTAAAGTTCGCCGTTCGATACTGAGATGATCTACCGTCCAAATAGAAGGGTGTTGGATGGCACACGCTCCACACCCATCTCCTCACTTCCATCTCCTCTACCCCCAGAAAGAGGCGCAGGAGCAGGGCCCCAGGCGGCCCCAGCACTCCTGTCATGTCGTCTCCGCGCCGGAGACGTCTTTGCGGCCAGGAGCAGCGTGGCTGCGTGAAGCATCACTGCTATTCCGGAGAGATCTCCACCTGGAACCAGGACATTCCACCGATATCACACACATCACAACGGACCGGAGAAGGGTTTCGCCAGAATGCGAGGAAGTGCCAGACCTCAGTGTAGTGTTTGTGTGTGAGCGCATGCTTTTTGGGCGCTGGGGGTGGGGTTTGGAGTTGGAAAAAGCATCGTTTGTTGAGGTGCATGGGTGTAGAGTGGTCGGTGTGCTGTGTTTGCATGTCCTCTTTTTTTGGGCGTTGAGGGGGTTTGCAGTCGGTATGTGTTTCTTTTTAGGTAGAGGATGTAGAGGAATGAAGCAGAGTGCGTTCGCCTCAAAAGGTAGCACCTCAGACTGACTCAAAGTCTCCACAGCCAGGTCTGTGGAGAAGCGGCACTATGCCCAAAGCGGCACATGATTGGGCATATGACTGGGGTGTCCCAAGCTGAATGACATGGACATTGACCAGACCTAATGAACTCACTACGAACGGCTGGGACCAAAGAGGAGGACGCATGGGAAGCGGTCTTCGGCGCCTCCAAGACGGACCAAACCGCCAGGACAAGCGGGACTGGTGCTGCAGCAACTACCAGCGAGGCGGCGAACTCGCTCGCGGAACTCGCTCGCGGCGTCGGTCTATGGTCCTTCCACCTGCGAAAGGGTGCGGCAGGGCTGGAGCATTCCAACTGGGCTCCGGTCGGACCATGGCTATGGGGCCCCGATGCAAGCTGCAACCGGAGCTTCGCTGTGAGGCGACCAAAGCACTCAAACATGACCAAAGCCGTGGTGTTTTGGGCCCTGAGAGAGGGATAACTGGGGGGCGGCGGACAAGAGCTACGTCCCAAGTTGGGCAACTTGAGAGCCTTTCACTCCAAACTCCAGATGTTGAGCTTGGGTAAGCCATGCTTTTCCATGTTCCGCCACCCACAAGACCCCCATCCGCGCAGAGTTGCTTCATCGTCCAAGCGTAGGCTTTTTTTGAGGTGTCTCCCTCCTTTCAGAGCTCCGAGATGTTTTGTGACATGGACACAGAACGAAGGTGGCGTTCGGGACAGAAGTTGAAGCTGTTCAGGGCCCTGTAGGGCCTTGGTTTGGGAGGAAGTAGGTACACTCTGACTCACTAACATGGAAGTGGAAAATGGCCATTTGGAAGATGACTTTCCTCTACAAACAGTGGCTTTTCCACTTCCATGTGATGTGTTCGTCGGAGTGTATTTGGTTCAGATGGGGGTCGGTCAGGTTGGTCCCAAGGATTCGTTCGGGTGTCCCACAGCCAGACCCGCTCCGTCAGAGAGGTAGGTCCCGTTCTTGAGGTCCTGGTCAGCACTGGCGGAACTGGGCCATGAGGTGCCGTTTAGGAAAGATGTACTGTATACCCTAGAAGTCCAAAGACTATTTTTTGACCGGCTGGAGTAAAGGAAGTTCCCTTTCAGTTCCCCTAAAGACCATTCTTTTTATAGTCTTTGACTCCCCGGGTATAGCTTTTTGGAGAGGCCGAGAAACCGATGCAGTTGATAGCCCCATGGTCAACTCAGCTTCTTGCACTATCTCATGCGGTTGCATATGACGCAGTTTGTTGGACCATGTAGTTCCGTTCGACGCTCCAGTTCCCTTGATCGTGCCTCATGCGCGGCATTGTTGGTTGACGGCCTTTCTTGATGCTGCTGGAAGCCATAGGCGCTATGGCATATGCTGGCCTACTTGGGGCCTTTTCCAAGTACACAGTAGACAAGGCCTTGGAGCTTCCGCTTCGTCAAATTTCACTGCGGCATGCGGCAGCCCGCGCAATTCAGCGTGCTTTCCGCACTCATTTGCAGAAGTTCTGGTGGTGGCAAGTTGCTTCAGTCAGGGAAGAGGCTCGCATTCGAAGTGTGTCGGCGCGTGATGTTCTCCGGCACATCACCATGCCTTTCAAAAGGGCAGAGTCTGCAAAGAAGATTCAAGCTTGGTTCAGGGCAAATGCTGGGAGCACCATGGTGAGCGATGCTTACAGCGATAGCTGCAATGATGATTCCAGCTTTGACGTCGACGATTCTGAAGAATCCTTTGCCAAAGACTTTGCTGCCGCTGCGGAAGAGCGGCTGATAGCGACACGTGTGGATCCCTTGTCGCCTATTGGCAAGGAGGGCCTGAGGATCATTCTTTCAAGGCTTGATGGGGGCACTGGAACAGAAGAGGTCGACGCTGCCAGCATCATGAAGGAGGCCCTACTGAAACAAACTCTCTTTGTTGGTCTCCGTGCAGCTGGAGCCTTCCGCGTCTTCTCAGGGCTTCAGCTGGTGAACTGTAAGGGGCCAGGCCTGGAAATCCTGGGCTGTGGGTCAATACGTCGCTCGGGCGGCGGGCGGGCGGTCTTTCAAGCTGCAGTTTCATACGCACGCCACCACGATATTCCGTTCCTAATATTGCGCCCATTGTGGAGCGAGACTGGGGAGGCACGTTCTTTCTGGCGACACTATGAGTTCGTCGAGTACGAAGAGCTGCAGGGCCTCTGGCTGCACCGCAAACATCCCAAGTGTCGCTGCTACGCAAAGCTGCGTCGACAAGTTGTAGGCAGGATTTCAGCGGGGTGCACGCGCTACAGCTTGGAACCCGACGAGGTGATCAATGTGCTGCTCACGAAGACAACTCTGGCCACATTGCCAATGTTGCTGTGGCTTTGAGTTGTTGAACTTGGCACAGGTCCAAACAAGGAAGTCTGCACGCGTCGACGTCCCTGCGTCCGTCCGCGCGTCCATGGGCGTCGGAGGAAATCCACATCATTCAGTCTCAAGTCCCACTTGATGGGGCATGCGGCATGCCACAAAATCAATAGTATGTATATGTGTTTGCGGAGACCAACACCTGAAGGCAATGAAACAACCCGGTAATTTGAATCAAGCAGGTTGAAGAACCTCTTACATGAAACTTTTCATATTGATCTTTATAACAGTCTCTTTACAAGTCTTGTGACAGCCTGCTAGGCACTGCGATTGAACTTCTATCTTTCCACGCTCTGTAATCTTCTGCGTGCAGGCTGCGCCCACACCACCCTGTCACCCCTGGGCTGCGATGCCGTTTGCACCCTCCATGGAGATTCTTGGTTTCAGAGGGAAGATGAGAACCAGGATGAGACCACTCAGTGGACTTCAGGATGAGAAAGATGTAGAAAGATACTCTTTGAGACGGTGCTTTTATAACAGCAATCGGCACCATCTATGAGACTGCGACATACAACCATGCTGTGCCGAAAAGATGATCATGGTGAATTGGCCAGATTGAAACCAGTCTTTGTGTAGGGCTCCAAGTACCTCCTCAGAGGGTATTCGGACCCTCCAAACCCACCCCATACACCTTCTCAGAAGGTGCTTGGAGCCCTAGGGATATGTACATCGCATATCCTTTTTACATCGCAAAGTGGAGGAACACTGGAAATGTTCCCTCCCAAGGCAATTGATAACCATGAGATAAGAGGCTATGTTAAGTAGAATCGTGTTGTTCCAGTTCAACTGCGAAATCCGGAGGCCGAGATGGATGTTTGTTGTTTCACGTTGATTCCCGCGGCATGCTCGGAGCTACCCCGTTTCAAGAGAACCCAATCCAGCAGCAGTAAATGTTGATAAATCTTGGTCCATGTTGTCAGCAACTGTGAATTTTCACCAGTTCCAATCTGTTCCAACTGATGAGTTTCATGTCAAATGCTTTCCTTTTCGCCCTCCAATCACCTTGCTGGAGTCTTCCGTGCCGGTACCGCACCGCAGCCCGCAGCCCCGCTCCCTGAGGAGTCTTCGACCTGCAAGGATCGCATGGCCTGGGTCCAGGAGCACGTCTTTGGAAGCCAAGACAACTCTTGCAACCTCGCCTACAGCAAGGCGAGGCAGGCATTGGACCGGACACCAAAAAAACCAACCGTGGCATGAAACGGGCTAGAGACGCGAACGCCCCCCGAAACACCTGTGGAACAAAGGATGGGAGGCATTGATTCAACAGTCCAACGATTTCGTAGGTGAGTCAGGCCGGCCGAGGCCGGCGAGGCGCCGTTCTGTTTTGGTCGAACGGAATGCGCCGTTCTCTTTGAAGGCCAGGGACGTGGACCACGGTTGGCCACGGCGAGATGAAAACACATTCGGCGCCTGAGGTTCGAAGAGCCACACTTTCTATCCCAGACACGACCTGTTTGGGACTGCCAGGAAGGACTGCCGCCCCATTGTCTCAAACCACCCCAAGTAACTGATCGGCAGTCCTATGGCAGTCCCATTAGTCGTGTCTGGGTATGGAGGTGACACTGTCGAGACAATGTCACACATGTGGCTTCGAACGTGTGCGTACATGGGAGGGTTTGACCGTGATTGCAAACAACTGTGTACTGCAAAGCGATTGATCCCAAAGCCTTTGGGGCAACCGTTTTTTCAGCAGTCCACCTTCTCAAAAGCTGAATCCCGTTGGCATCTTGCACAGGTGCAGGTGGATTGTTCCGTGTGCCGCGCTTGCTCCATCGGGGCGGCGGCCTCAGCGTGAGGGCGCGTGAGAGCGCGTGTACGCGCGCGTGCTTCAGCTGTGATTGTTCATGTGTTTTTAATCTCTGGAATGGGCCAGGAGTGCCATGCGAAAACTACATCGGTTGAATCAATCAACTCTTCTTCCTCTTTTGCAGTGGTTTCAGAGGTTCGATGGCACTCACAGATGTGTTTCATATGGGGGTCCATATAAACCACCGAACTTGGGGATTGCGTCATCTACTCTTAGTCTTGAAATCTCTTATGAATGAATCGCTGCGAATGGTTTTGGATGGAAGAGGGGGCCTGACAGCATACATGCAGTTTGGGTTATGTAGTTGACCGTTAATGTTCCTTCTCTTCAGCTGTCGGATGGGACACCTGATTGAAATGGTCACAGTCAGATGCTTCAGTCATGATGCGAAAATCTCACAGCCCTGTTCAATGCAGCCACTGTCTATTTCATTCTATTTCAACTGACGTGCCCGATTTGGATGGAGTTCATAATTTATTTATTTAAAAACAAAACTTTACTTAATTTGTAAATTTAATTGGAGTGCTTCTTCGAGCTGCTTGGAAACATGTGTCGCCATTTCTTCCAATAGTCTTCCATCAAATGAAATGCTTATGCATCCGCAACGAATGAAATCTGACTTCCATCGACTTCCTGAGGCTGCAGGCTGTGAGATCATCCAGGGCACTGCAAAGGCCGCCTTTGACTGCAATGCGGCGCTCAACAACTTCTTCAGGCCAGGCCGCGCCTGCGCGCAAGCCTGCGCGCAAGCCCGCGCCCCGGGCGTGGCAGACAAGGCGATGGCCTAGTCAAAGGCCTTGGTGGGTTGAGGCTAGTTGAGGGGATACCCCCATACCCCCAACAATTTTGGACCTCCAAATAGCGCAAATAGATAGAAAAAGTAGATCCCTATACGAAAAATGTCTTGGAAACTGTGCCTCTATCTATATCCATCTATAGACGAAGGGGATCACATGGTTCGTCCCTTTAAAGGACGTGCCCGGACGTGGGTCTGCGCCTTGGAAACGGGTTCGGTGGTTCGGTCGGTGGTGACACCGCGCCACCCCGGTGGGTGCCGAGAGCCGGCTGCTGCACATCACTTCGTTCGACGCGGAGTGACGATCAAAACAGGACGGGGACGATCCAAACAGGACGGGGACGGACCTGAGTTAGAGTTTCATCTTCGTATATATCTTTGTGGATGTTTGATTCATGACTGCTCCTCCAGCTGGTGGATCAGTTCCTAAACGCAGCGAAACAAAGAATCGACTGCCTAAACCTGTGGGTTCCCCCAGCCGAAAAGCCTTGGTGATCCAGAGCTGCCCCAGCTTCGCCGCTCCCGCGGGCGAAACCGCCGGGAAACCGCCGCCGCAGGGCTTGGTCTCCTCCCAAGAAGCTGGGTGACCCAGTGGGGTGCTCCCCTGTGTCCAAGGGGCTGGGGCGGAGGGGACGGAACTCTGAGGCGATGGTGATCGGGCTCTGAGGTCGCTCTTGAGCACCTGGAAAAGATGGAAAGGATGTAGAGCGATGTGTTTAAACAGTTGGTTTTTAAACCTACGTGTTTCTACCTCTGCCTAAAAGCATACAAGTTGTTCATCCGTGTTTTTGAACATTCCATGGTATCTCTGGCTGTTCTGGAGAACTCTTCCATCATGGTCCGACGTTTTCAACCGTGCTCATATGAGCGACTTGGGATTGCTTGAAGCGAGAAAGATATGAAGAGACATGACATGACATGAACAATTAATTTGAAGCAGTTGAAGCTGGGCCGGTGGTTTGTTAGCCTTCGCTGAACTCTATTGGTGTATTTTTGCCTATTTTGCACTGGCTGAGATAGTAGCAATGGAAGTTACAGGCCAACTGCATGTGGTATTGTTGTGTGTTCTTATGTGTTTTTGACACCTGGCAGAGTTTGCATCTATACGCAGACCAGTTTGTGCTGACTGTTTTGGATGGAGATGAATATGTTGTTTATCCAAGCCGGTCCCAAAACCCTTGAACTGAGTTCGTTCATGTTCATACATGCAATGGCCGAAGACGCACGTATTTGAAGGAGGTGTTCCATGCCTCCAAAATGCATTCCAACTGCTTGCGTAGCATGATGCGTGGCACGCACAGCGAAGAGGTCGGAGGTCGCTGTTCGGCGCACAGATCGCCGGTGTGGCACAGATCGTCTGAAAGCAGCTACAAGGGTCCCTCGCGACGTGACGATGGGACAACCATTGGATCAATCACGACCTCCGGGGCTTGCACTTGCAATGTTCGCTATGAACGGAGCATTTCGGGCGATCGGACGCGTCTCGAACGGAGCGATCGGACGCAGCAGATCGGGCGATGGGACGCCCCACCAGGGACTTGGCACCGGTCGTCTCGGTCGCGAGTCTGCTGAGCGCCTCCGGTGAAGGGGTTGAGGTCCGAGCAGTCGACGAGGCAAACTGTGCTCGTCCTGTCGCTGTCGACATCGCCACTGAGCCATAGCAAGCCAGGTTGATCAGGATCAGAAGGGATCGAGCTGGTAACCTTGGTAAAGCTGGGTATACCTGGCTGAAGGATCAGGTTGAAGCTGGTTGATCCTTCAGCCTTCAGCTTTTGATCTGTCTTGAAGCGAAGAAGACAACGGCCGTTCCGGTGTTGCTTGGCTGCCGCGGATGTTTGCATGATAGAATCACTTTCAGCTTGGGTTCTGTGACCATGCACATCTTCACAACAATCATTCCACAGTGGTTTCAGAGGTTCGATGGCACGTCTCCCCCACAGATGTTTTTTATATAGAGGTCCATATACTGAGCTTGGGGTGGTTGTTTGGGGGGTAACTTGTGCCAACTCCGAAACCACGGCAATTCTCAGATCGGTCTTTCCTGATATTTTCCTCCCCTTTCCCCGTCCGCCTTGACGGCCACGCGGCCGGGCCGACCTGAAGACGCCCGCTTGTGCCTCGACTGCGCTGAGGCAGTGGTGCTGCAGCAAGGAGGGCAAGGGCTGCGAGGGCAACAGTCCTCCATCCGTGGACCCTGGCCCCTTGGCTTTTCCGTTGAGAGACATCGAGAGAAATCACAGGAGACATCTCCCGTGCGTCGCGCGCGAAACAGGCCGACGTTTGATGGTTGGGGGGTCTACTTCCTCCCGAAGTCCGGATTGGGATGTGCTGGGGTGGGTTGTGAGGCTGAGATTGCAAGTGAAGCTGGTGGAGACGCAGTCAAAAGGGTGAAGCAGGGCCTCACGATGGTCGAAGGATTATGGTGAAGTAGCTTGAAAAGGACAAATACTCACAAGGTTTGTTGGCGTCAGTAACCGGGTGAGACCTCGTTGTTCTTTGTTCTTTTTGATGCGACTGTTGGAAGATTGAACAACAATGACAACCTGCAGGGTTTGTGATTTGGGGTCTAGTGTTTTGACATGCTTTAGACCTGAAGATACCTGAAGTCATACTGTAGCTGGGAAGGGGTCACTGTGTTGACCTTGATGTCATGCTCCAAGAAAATGTCTTACCAGATCTTTTTGAGGACACACTGCTGCACTGCACTGCAGTTGGGGGTCTTTGCCATTGTTCAGAATGTGAGCCAAAGCGGGTGTGTCAGTCTCGAATTTCAGGGTCTATCAAATATGGGGTGAAACACCAATGAAAAGGACTAAGGAGGGTCCAAGGTGGGTGCTCCTAGGTACGCTGTGTTTTGTTTGTGAAGAAAAGGACACATAGGTCCATAGGTAGAACGTAGAACGTAGAAGCCCTGCCACTGACATGGCTGCAAAACTGCCCTGCAAAACCGCCCTTCCCGCTAATTACGCTAATTCCTGGCGACTTGTCACACCCTACTCATATCATCTCTTTGTGAAAGATATTGAAAGATCATGAATCATGATTATACAGATGTTGTTTGTTTCTCCAATTTCTTGTGTGATGTTTTTGTGTTATAATACTAAGACCAAGTCTATGTTTGCGTTCAATCGTGCTAAGGCTTCGGCATGAAGTGGAAGCACGTGCAGGCGCCTTTTTTTCTCACTTGAAGAGGGGAGAGTATTCGAGAGGCAGAGTTTCTGAATGTGCTTAAATGCCTAAAAGCCAAGTTTTATCGGTTTTGACATGTCTGGAACAGCCAGCAGTCTTGATGGACATGTTTGGTGAATCATTCCATGGTGTAGTATATATGTACTATACCCATGCACGTCCATCGCAAACTTGCTCACTACCTTGCAAACTGGTCATTTTAGAATCTTTCATTGTTACAGGTATGGCTGTGGGGCTCAACCATTGAAGCCGTTTGTTCTTTGTTTTGATGTTGTTCTCTTCGTTTGGATGCAAATCCGAGGCGTCCGAACGAAAGAAACGGAACATGGGAGCAGCTCTTTCCCTTCTTGATTGGTCAAACATGATGCCAGAACATGTGTCATTAACTCACAGCAGCTTTGCACAGCCGCGAATCACCTCAACCAAATCCAGGGCGTACTGTGGAAGAGGTCACCGTACTCGTCGAACAAAGAGGTCAGTGTGGCAACTGCAAAAATAGCTTGATGTGAGTATGAAGCATCTTCACTCCAGCTACACCAGGCGGTTTTCATCCCGTAAATCCAGCTCTACCATGGCCTGAGCGGAACATGAATGGATCCATCATCATATGATCGTGTGTGACGGAAGTCAAGGCTGTTTGCCAAGGGGCTTCAACATATGCAGGGTCAATTTTCTCTTACCAGGAACAGTGGTTCATGATGGGGCCTGGTTGCAGGCCGACATCTCTCATGTTCTGGTTTACCGACTGTTACAGGTAATAGGACAGACCCTAGGCAGAACGATTTTCTATGTTATTTCCAAGCACAAAACCACGCGAACGAACGGTGCCACAAATGGCCATGTCGAAAGGAGCACGTCATGTCCATTGCTGATTACAATATAGAATTCCCATCCCCGGTCATACCTGGTTACCTGGATGGTGCCACATCTCCATTTCGACATGGGGGTCTTAGTTCTTCTAACACTGCAGTAGTCTTCTTTATCCCCTGCCTTCTCGTCCCATCGTTGTCGTCGCCATCACACGAATGAGCACTATAAACCATGACACTGGTTCCCATTTCACGCTCTCCACGCTGCGTGGGAACCACCTGCTGCGTGGTGTTCCCTGTGCGGCTGGCGATCGCCGGCTGCGATCGCCGGGGACCCGCTGTCGGGCCGAACGCGGAGGTGAACGGCTTCTGGACCTGGATGGCCATCCACGTCTCCGGCGCGGGGGGCACCGTGGCCGTACCCCCGAAGTGTCTCGGGCGGCACCTGGTCGGGCGGCGGGTCGGCCCAGCGGTGGGGACGGCATGGGAGGGGCCGGCAAGTGATGGGAGGTGGGGGGCAGATGTTGGGATGGGGCCGGAGCTTGCACAGATGATGTTAAGATAATTTGACATATATTTTGTGCATGTGGTAGGTGGGAGGAGGATAGGATCTCTCTAGAGCGTTGGAGGGAACGCGGCCGTTAAACGATGCCAAAACGAAGACTTCATGAAGAGGAGGTTTTCAGAAAATGACGGCAAAGCTTGAAGGAACTCACCGTGTCACCGTTGTATATATCCCAAACACTCCATGGGACTGCCATATATGCCTACATTAGGGTGGTAATCTGGGGTCAATGTGGGGCGGCATATATGGCAGTCCCATGGGTCGTGTCTGGGATATAAGAAACCACGTACCCTCCCCAGGTGACCCTCCCTCGAAACATGAAGGTGAACACTGGAGCCTTGGACGACGATCTTCCTCTACGAACATATATATTGGGGTGTCCATTTTGATGTTGTTGGATGGAGTGTAAAGTTTTACCACGTTTCAGTTGCATGAGGAATTGGTTGCCCATGGCGGGATTAGAGAGAGGAAACCACCATGAGTGAACCACGCCTTTGGCATCCTTTTGAAGGCAGATCCATTTCCGACAAGACACCCGTGTCCTCGGCATGTCCTCCGCGGCATGGCTTTGAAATCCATCTGAGTGAATTCGAAGCTCGATGGTGGCAATCTTTTGCCTTTTGATGCGACCTTTCAGATGATCCCGTCCAGCAAGCGCTTTAGTTGGTAGGCGAACCAACCACAACTCAAAAATCCCTCAAAAATCTCAACATCCCTCTGGCAAATGAAAGAGCCATGCGACACTCACTGTAAACAGATACGAAACAGATTGAACTTCCACGCCTCAAACCTGCAACCACCTGCACCCCCAACAAAAAAACGTACGCAGGTGTGTTGGGGGTAGCTGCTACGCCGCTTCGCCTCGGTTCGCCACACCCAGGCTGCCTTATGACTGCCACGCCGGCCTGGCCAACTGGAAGTTGGGCTGGTCCGACGGGCCGCTCGGCCGACCGGGCCCGTCCCGCTGGGGCACCGCTGGGGCATGGATGAGGGTGGAGGGGTGAAGGGAGGATAAGGGAGGGTACTGTCTCTCCAACAATCTAGGCATATAACACGGCCTCCTGGAATACGATGTTCCTCAACACAGGGGGTTGTCCACTTCCATGTTTGTTTCAGGGAGTGTATATAATATAGATCGAGATATATCCAACAATGATATATCAGATATATGCAAATGTAAGGCAATTATAGGTGGCCAACATCCAAATTAGACCGTGTGCCAACTAATTTGTAGTGATTCCGTGTGCCAATAGTTGGTGTTGGTGATCCACTACAAATAGGAACAACTCGAGATGTTCATGGTTTGTGATGTCTTGCCTCAAAACAACCCTCCAAAGATGGCAGAGATGGAAGAAGCATTGTGTGTGTAATCCATCGATGTGGACTTGGCTGTAAAGTTTGGGTGAGACATCGTGATACCATCCCAAGACATCCATGTATGGATTAGTTACATTGTGCATTTACGCATGTGACGAACACATCACCTGGAAGTGGAGGTCATTTGTTTGTTCGTCAAGGAAGTAAGTAGTCGTCTTCCGTTCGGGACGCGCTGCCATCCGCTGCCATCCGTTTTCGTGTGATGTGTTCGTCAGAGTGTATCCCATTGGGTGAAGCTAATCCCAGACACGACCTGTTTGGGACTGCCATAGGACTGCCGTCCCAGAAAGACCCGTCAACCACCCCTGGCCTGATCGGCAGTCCTATGGCAGTCCCAGACAGGTCGTGTCTGGGAAGGTACTGTAGATAACGATTCCAGACATGGATGGACTGGGCTTGGGGCAACCGGAAGCAGACATTTGTATGCAGACGTTTGTGATCCTCCGATTAGGAAGATCATCTGCTGGGGGTGGAAGAGAGGTATATAGATTCATCATTATCAATCCATTTTGTGAATGGTGGCCCAACCACCACGTTTGGATGGTTATTGAGGACGGCCGGCTGCTTTTCGTCTCCTCGTGTCATCAACATCACAAAACTCCATCGTCCTCGCCACAGGAAGAAGGGCTGGTGCTGCTCCAATCAGAAGATGGGCTGCCCCGGCAGCGCAGGTGGCATGGGCGCAGGCCACCTGAACATTCGCTCGCCCTGCCTCGAGGGAAGACGATCACCCAACAATGTGTTGTCTTATGTTGTTTTTCCATAATTAGGTGCAGTAGGCTACTGGCAAGACCAGCGGTGCAAAAAAGTGCCCCCAAAAACGTTGTTTTTTCCATGTGGTCGCCGTTGGGGGCAACACCACACACTTGTGGAAGTGCGCACAAGCTCGACCCTGTCCGGTGTGGCGCGCGTCGCAGGTGGTGCCGCAGGCGCCGCCGGAGGCCCCGACGGGGGGCCCGCGCGATGCTGATGGATCTGAAAGGACTTGAATGTTGGACGAGCTGATGGAATAGTGGATGGCCTGAATGTTGGGATGAGTCATGGCTGATGGAAGAGTCATGGATGGCCTGAGTTTCAGATGAAACATCGAGTTTGGTGTCCAGTTCCGTGGAATGTGAGTTGGAGTGTATGTAACTGGGGGAGTTGATCAAAGCTTGGTGAACTCGATGAACTCGATGAGTTCTTCTCCGTTCACGGCTGATGAAGATGCTTCTCTTCCCCTGTGTGGCACCCGACCAACTGAGAGTTCAAGGCTTTCCGGTCACCTCATGGTGTGACCATTTTGATGTGTATTGGAAGAGGGAGGAACACACAGCCTTCATGTGGCGGTCACGGGTTGCTTCGGTCCCTTTTTGGTTCCGAAGCACGCAGCCATTCCCGCCATGCTTGCTGCCTTTCTTGCCAGGCTCCTACACCGTGCACACCAGCTGGTCCACCCATGGGTTCCCACCCTCCGCTGCAGCTCATGGCATGGAGCAGCTCAGCTGAGTTGAGGCGAACACAGGGATTTGGGGAGCCCAACATCTGGAATAGTAGCAAGAAGCTACATCGGTTGGAAGCCATTACTAGTCGCAAGAAGCTACAAGGTCTGGCAGAGTTTTTCTCGGTCTTTTTGGAGCCCCCCAACTCACCCTATCAGGGCCTCCACCGCTGTCCCGCGGCGGATGAGTGCAGTCCGGAGATGCGTGGGGGCACGTCCTCCCCGCCAGCTTAGCAGGGTGGAAGACAAGGAGTGCAAACTCGGACCCGCTTCCCATGAAAAAAACGAAGAAGATGCGAAGCTGGATGCATCTTGAGGATGGTGAAAAATGAAGAAACAGGGATTCATCAATGAGGCAGGTGAAACATGGTCTCCCATCTTCGTTTTGGCACCTGTGTAGATTCGTTGATGCTGCTGCCATGACCTTTGGCCATTTTGCAGCAAAACCACAGAGAAGCAGTGGGCACTGCTTTAGACCCCTCGCGGTCTGCGCGGTCTGAGGTGGCATTGGGCCGGCAACCACTGGTCTCAGATCCACATGGCCGGCCATGCCGCCTTCCACTGCCATGGTGCCGCGGTGAAGGAAGGGGAAGCGGGCCGGGGATGGACTTCAGCGAATCTCCTTGCAACATGATCACCAAGAGAGGTTGAACAGCCCATCCTAGCCCATCCCATATACCACTGCAGGATCCTAGTTCTGGTCTTTCAACCTTTGTTGGCATGCTTCCTCCGGAAGATGAAGCAAAAACGGTGACCATCCACCATCGGAGGGGACACGCGGCTGGCCGCCTGGCCGGGCTTTGGAGCAAAACAAATATATTAGGGCTCCAAAACAGGGGCCAAAGCCAAGTGAGGGAGGTCTCCAAATTTTGGGTTTGCCCATCAAACGGACTTCGACCTGGGCCGAGCCTGGCGCACCTTAGCTCGCTCGCGGCCCAGCTAAGCGGTCGACCCAGGTGCGGTGGCCGCCATGCCAGAGGCTCAGAAGGCGCATGGGCTCGGGCCATGGCGAGGAACCTTGGGCACTCCCGGCGCGATGTCCATCGGCGTGATGTAGCAGAAAGTCATGCTAAGCAGCTCAGGATCCGCGGGGTTCAGCAAATTGGACCCCTTTTGGGCACTCGGAATCTCCTCGCCTCGCTGCTGAACCCTCCGTTCGCTTCGCTGCGCGACGAAACCGTTCGGCCAAGCCATTGTGTCTGAGATGTGCGCGATACAGTAATCCTCAAGTACAGACAATCGAGCACAAGTTGAACATCAGTTCAAACAGTTTGTGGTCCTTTCCCTGCAACTCTTTTCTGACGCCCTTTGACCAGCGCTCCCAGCTCTCAGGTGTTGGAGTTAAAGATTCGGATGTGCTTCAAACAGGCAAAGAAGTCAGATCACTGAACCTTAGACTAAATCACGCCAGGATCCACTTCTGATCAATCCAGTGTAACAAGAACCCTTCTACCAGGGATTTGGACGGTACATGATGGTACCCATTTGGCTTTGGGTCAAAGCCCGGAGCATCAAACGAGGTTAGTCTATGTTCTACTCATTCTTGGTGGGTCAACCAGGTAGGCTCCCGGTGAGAACCAAACATTGATGTGCGACCATTCCCCAATGTTCTGGCATCTAGATCAGGTCCTGAGTAGGTCCCACCCGAAATGATATCATGAATATCATAGATAATATATAATTTTATTTTATCTTTGTGTGTTTTGTTGATGCTCTTGTTTTGATCCCTCACCCCAATGTTTCTTCTGTTTTGGTGTGATAACATCGCGATGTCGGCCACTCCGCCGAGCACCGCGCAGAAGTGGTGCTGCCTCAACGAGGGCCTTGGCTGCCAGTGAGTGCCAGCTCCGGTGCTGAGCCGCCGGCAGCACGAAGGAACACGCGGCGCGGCGCGAAGGTGATAAACCATGCATCCACCCTAAGTAGCGTCCTTGCTCCTAGTAGAATTGGCCTCCAACCTGGTAGCGATGGCCTCCAGTAAAAGAGAAGAACATGAAGAAAGACGAAGAGGTGGGCCCAGTGACAGACTCAAAACCATGGCACCTGGTCTTTGAGTTGTTGGCTGATCTGTTCACCCGAGCACCGGGTGGAACTCACTCACCCAGGTAGCTGGACCTGTTCGGTGGTCTCTTCTGTTGCGGATCGGTGGTCAACTCTGCCGCCGTTGGACGGAATCAGCGCAACAAAGCCCACCACGGAATCCACCGGTGGGACGAGGATCAGGCGCCAGAGGAGGTCGGTTTTTGTTGGGAGGGCGGAGAGCCATGACTTGGAGGGCCTAAGTAATGTCAGAGGTTTTGAATGAACCACGGGGTTCCAAGGGGTGGTGTCTTTTGGATGATTGTATATAGCAGATCTTTGGGAGGTAAACACATGCAAACACTACAACTCTTTAGATCTCTTTAGCAGTCTAGCAACCACAGAAGGAGAACCTGTTGTGTCTCGTATGTTTGTTCACACCAAAGGATTGCCACGAGGACTTGGAGCCAGTTACAGGCAGCGCATGCGTACGCCGCGCGCTGCCGAGGGTTTTCATCGCAGCGATGGAATATAGTCAATTCTCCAATCATGGGAGTGTGGCTGGGAGATACCACCCCGTTTGTTCGAAATGAGCTGTTCAGCAAAGGAATGGACGATCGAAGAATCGAAGGAGTCTGAGTCTTGCAGCCACCAACCTGCAGTTTGATGAAAATGTTTTGTGCTGCTCCCGAGCGATCTGGATGTTGATCATCTTGTAGACGGAAGTCTGTCTTGGCACGTGAACACTTGAAACACCAAATATCCAAGCCTCGATGTGTCTGGCCCAAACTTGGCCAGACATTGTTCTGGTGGCCACAGTGACGAGGCTGCTCTTTTGTAGGCCAGTGACGAAAAGAGTCGTATAGGGGATTATAGGGGTGTCAACTTCTCATTGAAACAGCTCAAGACCGACCGATCTCCAAAATAACTACCCTCCCCGCCCTCCCCCCAACAGCTCATGGAAGTGCACCGGGTCGGCAGAGGAAGATCGTCTTCCCTGAGGCCTTTGTCCACTAACCTACTAACTAGCGATGGCCTCCAGCCTACAACCTACTACCAATCCTCTCCAACCTGCTAGCAATGGCCTCCAACCTAGAAGCGACTGCGAAAACCGATGAAACAAGCTCCTCCACGCTCCCATGATCTTCTCACAGAAGACCACGCGCACGGTCGGTGCGGACCACACGGCTCGTCCGTTCCGCCCCGTGGCGCGCTCGTCAGTCCCGACAGCCTTCGATGTCTCGTCCCCTCGAACCTCCAGTCCCAACAGCCTTTTGGGCTTGAGGGGCTGGAGCTGGACGCGCTCCCACCCCTCTTGGTGGCTTCTGATGTCCGGTCATGAAGACGAAGATGAGCAGTCTGGGTATGAGTGCACAGGTGAGTTTTGCTTGGTCTTTCGTAAGAAATTGGGCACTATAGAGAAAAGCAGACCGGCCATGCATGAGGGGTGAGCACGCTTATATGGCCACCGCATCGTGTTCGTGCCGTGGTGTGCTGGAGAGCGGGGGCAGCACTGTGGTTCCCAAGACAGCATGGAAAGACACCTGATCAGGTCTAGAGGAAGGACAGTTCAGGAATCCATATGATCATATACCCATAGATCTCAGGAAGTTCCAGGAAACTACGGTGTTTGGTCGAATTTCAGGACAATTCCAGTCGTGGTCTCCCAACTGTACCAAAAAACCGTCTTCTTGGCGTTTGAGACGGCATGTGTTACAACACCTCCCTATTTGATCCTGTTTGAGCGCCTTTAGGGGAATCCTTTGGGGCTCCTTTCAGTGAATTTCAGACATCGCTGGCGCTTTAAAATGCGACCAGCCTCGATGAACACGGCCAGTGGCAGGGATCCTTCAGTGTTCAATACCTTAAGGTCAGAGGTTTTACTTTTTTTAACTTGGCAGGTGATTGTGTTATTTGTTCACCTGGCCCTTTTTCGAAGAGACCTGGCCGTTCAAACTAGACATCCGAATCCCACTGGCCTTTTCGTGGTTCTTCGTCCTAGACACCTCAACGCAAAAGGGGGCTTAGGGGGCCACATCTAGCGCGTCGCTCCTATCGCTCTGTTCTTGTTTGAACATCAACATCCACACATTCACTCAAAACCATCCATCATCAATCCAAAACATCGAAGGTACGTTGCACAGATGATCATCATATGATTCGCTTCGTCGACTCGCATCGGAAGCGCGGCTTGGGAACCAAAAGACACCCTGATTAGTCCAAACTGACCACGGTCCAAACGCTCACCATCTTGCCGATCGTGCCGTTTTTTTGGTCGATCGGCCTATTGGGGGTTTGATCGGTTCAGAATGGTTCAGCCGGGGCATCACATGTTGCCGAAGACACCACAAGAAGCCAAAAAGGTGTTTGAAGGCACCAGAGGTGCTTTATGCCTGTATATTATATGCACACAAAGATTCTGAAATTGTTTGATTTTGATGTTAGAATGTTTTGGATTGATCGTTTTGGGGTGCCTCTTCTCACGTGGCACTGAAGACCGACAACTCCTGCTTACCCTTCTTTTATGCGCGGGCCGTGGCGCTTGGTTGGCGAGCACCCTGGTAGAAGCAACGATTGGCCTCACCAATCACTGATCAAGAGGAGTTTGTAAGGCAGGGACGCCTTTCAACAGAGGTTGAAGGACCCTATGGGCCTATCCCATAGGTACCCCAGTAAGGTTTCATAAGGTCACGTTCCACCTCTCTTGGTTGTCATGGGTGTATGCAACAGGCGTCCGGTCTCCATTTTGGGGGAGTGCTGAGCTGATGTCAGTGGTCTTGAAGGATCAAGCATCACATAAACATGGGACGTGCCAAGATCCCCTACTCTTCAAAAGATTCACGCTACGCAACTCTAGGAAGGTAACTTCCAGTGGATCTAAGTACATCCAGTGGGCTAGTACTGGCAATATTTGGACCATAAAACCAGCTCACACAGGCAGAGAAGTTATCGCGTAGAGGGGCGCTCGCCACAGTGAACTGCTCTTAGGACGTGTTCCAGGTGCAAAAGCACACTTTTTGAGCCCCTGGCCAGGCCCCGATTTGTACCAAAGATGTGAGAGCTAGTCAGACGTCACGTCCGTCCGCAGTGTCACGTTTCCCTCGTGCGTAACTTGCCGTAGCATAGGAGAGTCCGTAAGCCGTAGCGTACACGCAGGTCATTAGGGTCGGCTGCGTAGGAGATGCAGCCGACCCCAAATACACCATCTGGACCACCTCTCTGATTTCGGGTGAGCATCATTGGTTCGGGGGGTCGAGAGGAAAGACGGGTGGGAAGGACAACTAGTACCATGAGCGCCTCATGTGTTCATCCAAGCAACCCCAATGTAGACCCTTTGATGAATTAAGACCCCCTTAACATCCCCTATACCTGAAAACGTGTTGCTCCATGCTGGGGGATTTTGTGGAAGCAACATGCATCAACGGTCAACATCACTTCAACTCGAATCACTGACCACTGACCAATAGAACGAAGAATGGGCGATTCGAAGCGAATGTGTCTTAGAACAGTGCCGGCCAGAGCCTCATCAACTGGATCGCCATTGACGCTTAGCCCTTACCGTTTGGATCCTCTCTCGGGTCGCTACACTGGAAACCTCCAAAATAGAATCAAGCAAAGTCGATCAAGATAATATAATACAAGGTTTTTGATATAGTGTAGATCAGTTGACTGTTTGTTTTTGGTGTTGTTGAACGTGTTCAATTGGTTTTATGCTTGGTACATACTATATATGAAGGCCATTGAAGGCTTGCATGTATCCGCGGAAAAGGTGGTTGTTCTTCAAGCCTGTTCAAGCCTTTTCCCTCATTCCCAACGAAAACCACAGTAACTTGGCCTCCACACCTTGTGGGTGGCTGATGTGGAAAGACACACGTTTCGATCGAATGCAAACACGTTCAAAAAGCTACATATGTCCAAATGACACTCTTGTAGGACACTCTTGTGGGACACTCTTGTGGGTCACTCTTGTAGGAAACTCTTGTGGGACACTCTTACGGGACACTCTTGTGGGACACTCTTGTGGGACACTCTTGTCGGACACTCTTGTGGGACACTCTTGTGGGGCACTCTTGTGGGACACTCTTGTGGGACACTCCTGTGGGACACTCATTTGGGATACTCTTGTGGGACACTCTTGTAGGAAACTCTTGTGGGACACTCTTGTGGGACAGTCTTGTGGGACACTCTTGTGGGACACTCTTGTAGGAAACTCTTGTGGGACACTCTTGTCGGACACTCTTGTGGGACACTCTTGTAGGGCACTCTTGTGGGACACTCTTGTGGGACACTCTTGTGGGAAACTCTTGTGGGACACTCTTGTGGGACACTTCTGTAGGACACTCTTGTGGGACACTCTTGTGGGACACACTCTTGTGGGACACTGTTGCGGGACACTCTTGTGGGACACTCTTAGGAGACACTCTTGTGAGACACTCTTGCGGGACACTGTTGCGGGACACCCTTGTGGGACACTCTTGTGGGACACTCATTTGGGACACTCTTGCGGGACACTCTTGTGGGACACTCTTGTGGGACACTCTTGTGGGACACTCTTGTGGGACACTCTTGCGGGACACTCTTGCGGGACACTCTTGTGGGACACTTTTGTGGGACACTCTTAAGGGACACTCTTGTGAGACACTCTTGCGGGACACTGTTGCGGGACACTCTTGTGGGACACTCCTGTGGGACACTCATCTGGGACACTCTTGCGGGACACTCTTGTGGGACACTCTTGTAGGACACTCTTGTGGGACACTCTTGTAGGGCACTCTTGCGGGACACTCTTGTGGGACACTCTTATAGGACACTCTTGTGAGACACTCTTAACTCTTGTGAGACACTCTTGTGGGACACTCATACGGGACACTCTTGTGGGAGACTCTTGTGGGACACTCTTGTGGGACACTCTTGTAGGACACTCTTGTGGGACACTCTTGTAGGACACTCTTG